ATGTAGTGTTCTTTTGTTAGCCATACAATCAGCTTCCAACACTAGAATGCTAGAATGTAAAAAAAAAAAAAAAAATAAACCCGGAATATTCAATAGAAACAATACTTTTAAAGGTTTACTGATTGGTAATGTACTGACCTACTTCTATGTGCCATGTCTGTTCTGGGCGTTAGTGATCTTGGCTTTCCACAACTTCCCATCTTTTTTAACTCTTAGCAATATTTGCCTTCTTACAGTTCCTCCCATTCCCTGTTTTGCCATCCATTCACACAAGCTTGTTAGGTAACTTGATACCCCTCTTTTCTTCAATATTTCCTGTGAGTGTCAAATTTTCTAAACCTTCTTTCTTCATTATATGTCCTTATTACTGTTAATTTGACTTGCATATATTGTTTGTCCTGTTCCTTTCTTTTCTTTCTCTTGTTATTGCTCCACATTGTTCCTCACTGAATGTCTAGTATTTGAGGCCTTATTTTAAAACCAAGCTAAGCTTAGTAAATAAAACTATATTGACCTTGGATATCTCACAGTAAGAAGTAAGGAAATGGCAACTAAGAATATTATTTAAAAGAAAACCTTTTTGAGTATGAAAATTTTTGCAAAATGAATTTAAAGCATAAATATGAAAAGGAGAATACCTCATATTGAGATTAGCATCCCAAACTATTACACTTGTTAGTGGCTGGGGAAGATATGCCCAGTTGGCACAAAGTAGATAACAAATTTAATAAGAACAAAAGTGTTAAAAAGTAACCCATAAATGAAAACATTTTATTAGTTACTTTAATTATGGATTTTATTTATTTTGCCACATTGTTAGGAAGAAAGATTTTTTTTTCTTTTCTTTCTCTAAATCTGTAGTGGGTAGGAGAGGACCAGTTAAGCTGGCAATATGCCCAGACTTGATAGGAAACATAAGTAGATTTTTTAATCAGTGCTAAATACATATGATTTATGTCGGCATATATACAATTACATGTAGTCTATATGATGTACCTTCAAGTAACAGAGAGCTCGCCTTTGCCTCAGCCGAGTAGGGGAGTAGAATCCCTGAAGATTGTAGGTCTATGCCAATTAGCTTACATGCTCCCAACCTCTGCTCTGACTGGATGAAGACAAATATTATTTATTCATTTATTTTTTTAAATTGGCTAGTCAATTTCAATTTCAAACATTATATCAAGCAAAAAAGATACTGTCACAACATCGTTAGAATACTCACAAGACACCCTCACATCTAGTTAAAGACATTCAATTTTCCATCTTTCCCCCTTTTTTTTCTTTTTTTTTAACTTTTGAACCGGGGTTTCTTACTAAACTATCAAATATGGAGAATCATTGGGACTAAATGCCTTTGATGGTGGGATGGTGGGGTGGTGGATGCCAGTACAAAATGGCCACAAACTACATGAAAATTGCCGTAGAAGCATGAAAAAATTCGATTATTTCCGCTATTGATAGGAGTTGGGAAATGCAAAATCGGTCTTGGCCTTCCCGCTTAACTTGGAGCATATGCAGGTAAATTTTGGTGCAAAACCGTCTGAAAATTAAAATGGCCGCATTCAGTTACACACACAAACACACCAAATCCTGCCTTATATATATATATATATATATATATATATATATATATATAATAATAACAATAGGAAAACTGCAGTTATTGCTGACGCATTTCATCCAATGTGAACTTTTTTCATTGTCCATTGTCATTTATATTTATAAATATTGTCTTTTCTACAGATTAAAAACAAGAAATAGAAAAAATTTAAAAACGAAAAAATAAACAAAATTAATTTATTTATATATATATATATATATATAAAGCATAATAAATTTTTAAAAATCCACATTACAACCAAAAACGTTTGCAGTTTCCCTCTTTTTAATATACACACTTTTCTCTCATTGGAACTACTATAACCTCTTCCTTTTATATATATACTAGCAGTAGAGCCCGGCGTTGCCCGGGGATGTAACAGTAAGAGATAGATCAAGTATCGACCATCATAAAGATTGAAAAATAAAATTGACAAAGATTATCGTTTAAGGTTGATGGACACGCATGTCTTAATTAGTTTTTTTTTTTTTTTACGAATTGGTCAAACCCAAACTCAAACAAAAACATTGTTTTCAATCGTTATGAGTCTACCAATTGAATAGAATTTTATTATAAACAATTGTCTTGTAAATGGAATTTTTAAAGCATTCTGAATGTAAAAATAAAGAAAAAAGTGTGCAAGACAATAAGAAACACTACCTGCCAAAAAAAGAAATTGAAGTTTTGTTGAAATCGGTTGTAAAATGTAGGAAATCTGATCCCATATATAAAGGAACACACACACACACACACACACACACAACCTGGGTTTTATAATAAGTATAACTTGATATGAGTTGTCCCCTTTTCATTCTCGTGATGCCTCTTAATTGTGTTTTCAAATTGATTTTGTGCAAAAACAATTGTGTTTTTTCCAATTTTTGGCGCTGTTAGAACCACTGCGAGGTAATTTTATGTAGTCCTGTGAAGTTTTGTTGAAATTGGTTGAAAAATGTAGGAAATCCGATCCAATATATAAACATACAGACACACACACAATCTGCGTTTTATAAGTAAGATATATCATGATAGACAAATGTTTAAATTGTTTGCACTTTCAACCAGAAACTACCCTTATAAATTTGTATATTACACAACACATACATAACAAAATTTAAAAAAAAAAAAAAAATTTTTTTCCTTTTTATAACTTAACCCAATGCCATGATTAAGCTCTGATAAAGTACTTGCAAGATCCTCTAAGGCCAGAATATCAAAATATCTATCTATATGTTGAAGTGTGATTATCAAGCTATCTATCTGATTGTCAAGGTGTAAATATCAACATATATATCTTTATATCGAAGTATGAATGGCAAGCTATCTATCTAGTTATCAAGGCCCAGATATCTATTATTGGCATTAAATAACCCGACAAGGTTGATATGCTGTTAAACACAAACAAACAGAACACATAAAAGAGAATAGTAGTTTAGCGTATACCTAAATTGTTATGGTTGCTGTGGAGGGTGGAAATTTCTAGGCCACATGAAGGTGGGCTTGAAAAATTTGATACTCACAGGACAGATTGAAGGCAAGAGGGACAGACGGAAACTATACACATAACCTAGTTAGCAAGCTTGAATAAATGGATGATGGAACAAGGTTTAGGAAAGATTTATTAAGAGAAAGAACATGGCAGACAAAAGAATAAGAAGTGTGATAAGAAAGACATCATTTTAGTGCTTTCAACCTAATTCATCTTTTCTGAATAGAAAAGCAAGTTCACTTCATGTAGTAAATTTACAACATGACCACTTGTGACATTCGTTAAACTGTCACATTTTTTTTTACCCTTAACCGAACTTTTTTATGAAAGCCAAGATGATCAAAAAAAAAAAAAAAAAAAAAAAAATGGAGATTTTAATCTGTGTCTGTCTATATCTCTGAGTATTATCATTATTTACAATATTTGAACTGTTATTCTCAGTTTCATTGCCATATTCCCAACGTTTTGGCCATAGTACACACCAGCCTTCTTCAGGTGATTGAAATTTTGTCCACCATTGTAGATTGTTCTAGTTCCATGTGCCATACCCCTTCCAGATGTCTCAGTTATAACTCAACTCTCCAAGTTTTTTGGTCTTCTCAAAACAGCTTCAGTCTGCCTACCCTTTGTGAAGGGATTATCGGGGAAAATACAAAAGATTTGTGGTCCTTATAACATCGGGACAATCTTCAAAAGTGGTTCAACACATTGTAGACGCCTGTTCTAAGTAAGACCCTCCCAGAGGAGAACATGACTGGCCTGGTATTGTACTCACAACTCTTTGGATCTAGTCACTGGATCTAACCAATGCTGGTTATCTACTAGGCCATTTGTCCTTGAGGACATCTGTATATGAATTTATGGGACTTATAAACCTAATGTCTCAGCAACTGTTTTTACCAGTGCTCATATTGCAATTTTTCTGTTATTATTATAGCATTTTTTTTTTACCAGAGCTTATATTGCAATTTTTTTGTTGTTATTCATTGCTTTTCTCTAGCACTCCTTATTACTGGTTCCCATGTTGTATTCATATCTATGCTTGGTTGGATCAGAAGATTAACATATGTGCTGATTCCTTAAGTTTTCATATTTTCCAGTGATGTTCTTTGTCTATTATTTCAACCTCATTCCACAGGAGGCGGTGATCCTCTTTTCCCTCCATATATGGTCAGCTATACCTGACTTTTCTATTTCCCCACATGTTACCACTCAGGCTCAGGCAGATGAACTGTTAGATACTGGAGAAAGTTAAGCCACCCAAATCAAACATCACAAAATTGGAGAGTCCATCTCTTCTCCTCCCAGATATGGGTAAATAGCAGGACAGACTGGGTTCTGTAGCCATGGATGGCAACTAGTCTAGGAGAAGGAAAACTCTGAATCAAAACCAGCCTGAAGAGGGTTGGGTTTTATCATGCTATCTTGCCCAAGACACACCAATTCTGCTGCAGCAGCTATACATGTGGTGTCTCTACAACTCTAATGAAAGTTACAGGACTTGTGATTGTGAGATCAAAAAGTACTGATAACTGCCTTAGACTTTCTAACTCCACTGTACTTATATCCAATAAGTAATTTTGCTGTCATTTCTTTATGACATAGGCAAACTAGTTTTAAAATGGTGACCAATTGAGGTTAACAATCTACATAAAACATAAAAGCAAGTCAATTTAATATAAATTATGAGTGAGTCATTAGTTAAGTTTAAGCAAGTCATAAGATTTCTACAAATGGGGACAAGAGTGCTTGGACAAGAGTGGTCAGTTAAGTGGTGAGCAAGTGGTTGATAAGATTCTGTGGTCAAACAGCTGATGAGGGAGGAAATGGTTATGAAGGCAGAAAAGTTGGGAAACAACCAGGTGGTCTTGATGGAAGAATTAAGAAAAGGTGGGGTCATGAAAGAAAGGCTTAAAAGTTCTTTTCAAAATATTCTCTGATAAAACGGATTTGAACTGAGGAGAGAAAGAGAGACAAATAGAAGAAACGTAAAGAGAGACAAAGGCATGAAAGAGACATACATACAAACAGGCAAGAAACAGATAGAAATGGTGAGAGATTCAGTGGGAGAGAGAGGAATGGTGAGCGATTCAGAGAGAGGAATGGTGAGAGATTCAGAAAGAGGAATGGTGAGAGATTCAGAGAGAGAGAGAGAGATAGGAATGGTGAGAGGTTCAGAGAGAGAGAGAGAGAGGAATAGAAATGCAGAGAGAAATATGGAGAGTGTTGAAGACGAGAGAGTGAGAAATGGAGAGAGATGAAGATGAGAGAGTGAGAAATGGAGAGAGATGCTGAGAAATAGAGAGATGCAGAGAGGGAGAGAAAATGGAAATAGGTGCAGAAGGAGAGAAATGGAGAGAAATTGAGAGAGAACTGGAGAGAGAGAGATGCAGAGAGAACTGGGGAGAGATTGGAGAGGATGAGATATGAAAAGAGATTGATGAGAGAGAGAGAAATTAAAAAAGATATAAGAGAGAGAGAAATCAAAAATATATCAGAGAGAGAGAGAGAAATCAAAAATATATCAGAGAGAGAGAGAGAAATCAAAAATATATCAGAGAGAGAGAGACAAATCAAAAATATATCAGAGAGAGAGAGACAAATCAAAAATATATCAGAGAGAGAGAGACAAATCAAAAATATATCAGAGAGAGAGAGTGAACAAGATGGAAACGAGAGTGATAGGTGGAAATACTTAAATGTCGAAGAAAAAAACAGCCACTAATCTTCCTTCTTAATTGGAGTCCCAGATCAGATATTTGCGAATGCTTAATTGAGGAAGTGATCAAGAGAATAGCAAACTAACAAGTAATCTCTCAGTGTTCTACCAATCTTCCTTCAGAGAGAGATAAGCCAACAACCCCACTCTCAAACCCAAACTTCTGGATATCTGCTATCTTGCTGACCACAGCATGGACACAGGCAACAGAACTTTGGATGCCCCCACCAATCCCCTACTCCAATTGTAATTTCAACACACTTCAAATTGTTCTTAAGGAGTGGCTTCAAGAACTATTAACTGTTTAAAATCTTTACTATCTATTGGAAAACATTTTCTTTTTACATCTCCATGTTATAGAAAGTTTAAAATTATAATTTAAAAGTTAAATTGAATTAGTGTATTTGCTAACTAATTTTTTTTAACTGTTATATTCCTTCAGTACTTAGTCAATCATAACTCCCCACATATTTTGTTTTGCTTTAAAAATAATTGTTTTCTTTCTAATGAAGCCATATTGGGTTACTGAAATAACTACAAGTAGTGAATTGGCCTCCATTTGAAAATGTTTCAATCAAATTTTAAATTGACTTTTCATTCATAGCCTAAATTATATACAAAGTAGTCTAAAAATCACAAACAGTTCAAATTTAATTAAATTAAAGATTTAAACTGGAGATACCAAAATCAAACAAGTACAAAAATTTAAAGGTGAAATCTGAATGCGCATTGAAATAGTGTAAGATGCCTTCCAAAAGCTGAGCAAAATATTAAGAAACAGGAAAATTTTGTTAGAAACAAAGAGGCCTGAACCCTGATGTAATAGTAGTGCTCCTATAGTGAATGCTGGACAATCTCTGCAAAGAAGAAGAAGAAACTTGAAGCAACAGAAATCTCGTTCTACAGAAGGATACTGAGAATACCATGGACTGAACATGGGAGGAATGAAGAAGTTTTAGAGAAAATGGAACAAAAAGAACACTTAGACTTAACATCAGAGATAATTGAAATTTCTAGAGCACATAATGAGGAAAGAGGGCTTAGAAAACTTAATACTCACAGGAGAGATTGAAGGCAAGAAGGCCAGAGGAAAACAACGCATAACATACTTCACAAGCTTAAGTAAATGGGTGGCGAAGCAAGGTTTAAAAGAGATAAAATTAAGCAAGAGAAAGGACTAAACATTAATTGTAAAAAGAAAGAATGCAAGATTGTTAGCAAAAAGGAACAGCCCAGCGAAAGATGCCTTTCAGAAACTAAGCAAGTTATTAAGAAATCAAAAAAATTTCATTAGAAACCTAGATAACCTCTGCAAAGATGAAGAGACTTGAAGCAACAGAAAATCTGGTTCTACAAGGATACTGAGAATACCATGGACTGAACATGGGAGCAATGAAGAAGTTTTAGAGAAAATGGAAACAAAAAGGACACTTAGACATAACATCAGAGATAGTTGAAATTTCTAGAGCACATAATGAGGAAAGAGGGCTTAGAAAATTTGATACTCACAAGATTTATTGGAGGCAAGAGAGACAGAAAAAAGCAGTGCATGACTTACCTACAGCTGGTGTAAATAGTTGACAAAACAAAGATTAGACGAGATAGGAAAAAGACAAACTTTACTAAGAACTGCAAATGACAAGAAATTGTGGAGAGCCATGATCACCCACTTCTTGAAGAGACATGCCACTCAGAAGAAGAGCTTTCAATAGTAGCCCAGTTTTTGACCTCTGCACTAAAGTGACTGCAACAAGAGTTTCCATTGTTTTTCCTTTCCACCTAACCTCGCAGCTCAT